GTATGGCTATTTCCCAAATGCTACAAAGACTGTGTTAATAGTCAAGGACCTAGTAAATCTTCCTGCAGCTAATGCTATCTTCAAAGACTCAGGGGTTCACATAAAGAGGGACGGAGACAGACACCTTGGGGCTGTTATTGGATCAGAAAACTACAGAGACCTTTATGTGAAAAATAAAGTTTCATCCTGGATTGAAGATGTTAAACAACTGGCTGAGATTGCCAAAGAAGAACCTCAAATAGCATATTCTGCTTACACTAAAGGGTTGAGTCATAGATGGTCTTTTGTTCAAAGAACAATTGGAGGGATATCAGAGCTGTTTAGACCCCTTGAAGAAGCAATTAGAACAATACTTCTTCCTTCTATATTCAATCGCCCAGTAACAGACCTAGAGAGAGACATGGTCGCACTACCTCTTAGACACGGTGGCTTAGGAATTCAAAATCCTGTTCTTACATGAGACAGAGAATATGAGGCGTCACAGAAAATCACAAAACCTCTGGCTAATCTTATCTATAACCAAGATCATGATCTAGGCAAACTTGACCTCACAGCTATTGCAAACACCAAAGCAGCACTGAAAGCTGAAAAAGAAAAAGATTTTGCAGCAGAGAGACTCAGAATAGAAAACGCAATAAGTTCTCCAGCAAAGAAAAGATCGTTTTCACTGGCTACACAAAAAGGCAGTTCATCCTGGCTGTCAGCCCTCCCAATGCAGTCTTATGGTTACTGCTTGAACAAGAAGGACTTTAGAGATGGTATATGTTTGCGATATGGCTGGCCTATACAAGATATTGCTAAACACTGTGCGTGTGGAGAAAGAAACTCCGTCGATCATGCCCTTTCTTGTAAAAAAGGAGGGTATGTTTCCTTTAGACATACAGTGCTTGTAGAAACCGAAGCAGATCTACTACGTGAGGCTAAATGTAGAAACGTTTATACTGAGCCAGCTCTCTTACCAACGTCTCCAGAACTTCATCCCAAAGGAACTACTACTGACAGCGGAGCAAGGCTAGATATTGTTGCAACTGGATTATATGGCAGGAATGCCAGGACTTTCATGGATGTAAGAATAACACACCCAAATGCACCATCAAACCTTAATGTTCCCCTGGACAAGTTGTACAAGAGAAATGAGGAAGAAAAAAAAACTAAGTATAACTCACGAGTCATCAACACTGAAAGAGCGTCTTTCATTCCTCTAGTGTTTTCTACAGCAGGGACTACAGCACCAGAATGTGACAGATTTCACAAACGTCTTGCTAGATTGATATCAAAGAAGAGAAAGGAGAGCTACACAGATGTTATCAACTACATCAGGACCAAGATATGCTTTGCTATGCTTAAAAGCATAGTGGTATCAGTTCATGGTGTGAGGAGTCAAGAAGAAAAGAAAGTAACAAAAACGGTTGCTGACACAGCATTTGGACTTATACCTAGTATGACCTCTTATGAGTGCCGTTAAATTATTAACAGGAAAATTGTTTTAACTTTGGTTGATCGAATGTTTTATATCAGATGTTGATTTTTTAAATATAGGTGTATATTTTTGCTATTATTTCTATGAAAGGGGAGGTACGGATAAAGTACCAAACCTTATTGTGTATATTTGGTTGCAACTCCGGTAAATGATGAAACATGTCTCTTATGAGAGTGATACCGTGAGTTGCTTCCTTTTTTTAAAAAAAAAAAAAAAAAAAGAAAAAAGAACCCATTAAATGTATCACATTTCAAATCAGATAAGATCAGCGCACAACTAATTACGTTTTAATGAGTATGCAGAAAAGTATGCAAACAATTTACAAATAATTTAAGCAAATAATGATTGTCCAGCCATAAAGTTAGAAACCCTTATCGATATTTATATTCGATTGATAATGTCAATCTTTCGCATCTCGGCGTAGCCTTGGCCTTATTTGACGATGTCAATCCTTCGCAGCTCGGCGAGACCCAGTGGTGCATTTGGCCGATCTAACAAAAGTAGTTGCGAGAAGCATTATTATTGGATTCGCGGCGCGGTCCAGTAATGCATCACGCTACAAATCGTAGCCCAATAGTACCTTGCGCTGATCTAACAAATAATTGATCATGATAAAAATGATTGAATTGCGATCAAAAATACTATTTGATGCGCGTTCTAGTATTACTGGGCGTTGTACATTGTAGCGCGATGCGTTACTGTGCCGCGCCGCGCTGCAATGAATTGACATCGTCAATTAAGCGCTGATTACCAATTGACGGATGTTACTCGTCTAAATTTCTTCGAAGTAGCGCGCGCCGCTTTCTTCTCGAAATACCCGACGGCAAGTGCTACGAAGTAGAGCGCGCCGGGCCAAATCATTAACAATGGTCGAATTACCAATTGGAACAAATTAACGTATACGCTAGGGTGATGATTAGCGTATACGTTAATTTGTTCCAATTGTTCCAATGATGCCAGGGAAAAGCATGCTAAGTTTACTGACAAACGTAGGAGACTTAAACACGTAATACGACTAGCTCAACGCCACTACACGTGCAACAAAATTGAGGAGTGTCAGGGTGACAGTAAAAAAACCTGGCAGTTAATTAATAAAGTGCGAGGAAAGCAAAATAAGCAAATGAAACCGTCATTCATGATAAACAATGAGCGTGTTATTTGTCGACGAGTTATTGCTCATGAATTTAACAAGTACTTTGTGTCAATCGCCTCCAATCTGAACGAGGTCTATGAGAGGAGGATTGATGAAGATCCTATAATTGCTAAATCATTCACTGACTACTTGCCACAGTCCTGTCCGTCAAGTATTTATCTCGCTGAATGTACAAGCTCTGAAATAATACAAATTATAAGTGAATTTAATAACGGTAAAGCTAGCGACATACCGGCACATGTAATGAAGCAGTGTAGTCAAACTATATCAGAACATCTTGCCAGAATTTATAACAACTGCATGAATGAAGGTGTCTTCCCTGATCAACTGAAAACGGGTAAGATAACCCCGATATATAAAAAAGAAGATGAGGAATTACTCGAGAATTACAGGCCAGTATCAACATTACCAGTATTTGGCAAAATATTTGAAAAAATTATTTACAGTAGATTATACAACTTTTTCTTATCTCGAGGAATAATATTTGAAAATCAGTTCGGCTTTCGAAAAAACCACTCGACAAGTCATGCTCTTAATTACTCCGTAAATCATGTCGAAGAAAAACGGAATAATAAAAACCACGTATTAGGAATATTTATCGATCTCTCTAAAGCATTTGATACCTTACCATTTGATATGCTACTTAAGAAACTTAGTAATTACGGAGTTAGAGGAAACGCACTAAAGCTGCTCTCCAGCTATCTAAATAATAGATACCAGTATGTTAGTGTACTTGGTGAAGAATCAGAGCCTCTCCCAGTTAAACTAGGCGTACCACAAGGATCCGTTTTGGGCCCCTTGCTCTTTCTTATCTATATAAATGACATCTATAGATGTAGTACATTAGGAAAGTTTGTACTATTTGCAGATGACACAAACATCTTTGTAGCTGCTGAAACTAAGGAACTAGCATACAAAATAGCGAATGAAATTCTTGACTCTGTGTGCCAATATATGCGCCATAATCTACTGCACATTAATGTTAAAAAATCTTGTTACATGTACTTCTCGCCTACTAAACGTAAGACCATTGATAATACTGAAAATGACTTGAATCTAGAAATTGATGGAATCCCGATCAAACAGGTTACTGAAACGAAATTTCTAGGTGTTATTATAGATGACAAACTGAGTTGGACACCTCATATCGAGAAACTAACTAAGAAATTAAACAGTATATGTGGCCGTATTTATCGAATAAAAAACTCCCTCCCCAGCCAGCTGTACAAACAGATATACCACACTCTTTTTGAATCTCATCTAGGATACGGTATAACTGTATGGGGTGGTGTATCAATTAATAAGCTTTCACCGCTATTCCTTGCACAGAAGAAATGTGTCCGAATCTTATTTGGGGACTCGGAAGCATTTAGCGACAAGTTTAAAACTTGTTCTCGTAGCAGGCCAATCCAGTGCAGTATAAACAAGAAAGGTCAAATATCCAATGAATCAACTATACCTCACATTAAACCGTGTTCTATATGTATCAGCTTGAGGAAGACTGGTGATAGACAAGTAAGGCCACATCGCTGCCAAATACTTGGGGCAGAATTCCACTCTAGAGAATCAACAAAACCGATTTTCCAATCTAAGGAACTAATGACAGTACATAACATATATAGATACAGATGCATTACTGAAACAATGAAGATAGTGAAGAGTCATCAGCCCATATCCATGTATTCTCTATTTAAAAAGTCTCAGCTCAGAGATGACAGATTTGTGACACCACACTCATCTCACAATTTCGCATATAAAGGGGCAAATCTATGGAATACGTTTCTTGAACAGTCAAATGCACGTGGTAAAATAGGTTCTCTAGGCTCAATTAAATCCCAATTGAAGTATTCTATCATGAAGGCTCAACACCAACCTAACAATATTAACTGGCAGGACTTAAACTTCAACACTTTCCTATGAAAAGACCCCCATTTATATTTATATCTTTTACATTTTACACCTGTCACTCACATCATATATACACCACAAAAGAAAAAGATTCATTCAATCATTACATTATACACTCACTCCACCAAACACGCACACAACCCATTGAATAAGGTTACACGCGGGTGTACCGTTTGACGGATGTTACTCGTCTAAGTTTCTTCGAAGTAGCGCGCGCCGCTTTCTTCTCGAAACGTTAGACGGGAGAGAAACGAAAGATCGAGCGCTCAACTTAGCGCAAACTTGACTAATATCGCGCGTTACCGCGAGCACATTATATCATTTCTGCATAATATTGTGACACTGTGACAGCACGGATACTGGACAGAATTGATATGAACGTAATCTGGTAAGTTCGCTATATCGATTGAGTTCTTCATTATGTTGGCATTCAATAAATAGGCTTGGTCAATTTGAAGTGGTCTATCTAAGCAAGACAAGTCACAAGAATTCGAATACATTTCATACCATCAATAACTCGTTTCAGTCAATATAAGTATGCCATTTGCCAACATGCACAACAGTTATAAGTTAAGTTTAATTGCACCCGCGATCAATTACAAAAGCCAAATATGATAAATAACATATGACATAAAACCAGTAAAGAGTTAAGTTTACAAGTAGAAATACAAGACCCCAAAATACTTTCAGTGCAGCTATCACAGATAATGCTAAAAAATTGCATATTACAAGCCGGGTTCACAGGCTTCCTGAAACATCGTACGTATGCAACCCACTGTCATAGTTATAATATATAATATGTTATATAGTATGTATACTGGTCGAAGTAAATCCTATGATCATAATTCAAGGGTTGGGATTGTGTTCACATTTCACAGTTCAGTCACAAAATAATTGAAGGGTATTGTCTATCAAGTATTACATGTTGATGTAGCATTAAGTAGAAGGAATGTCCAATCGTTGATCTGTATAACATTTAACCAAGATTGATGTCTTACGTTGTTCATCATGAAGCATATACTTAAGGCTGATCAAGCTGAATTTCTGATCTCCGGTTGCCTGTCGTTGCCTGCAGTCGACCTGCGACAAAATCGGAATATTATTGATAGCACTAATAGTAGTAAGATCCCTCTTGTATCTCACTAACACAATTGGATGTTCAAATGTTTTCAAGTCATTCAAGGAACAGAATATTCTTTAATTTATACATGCAATTTATACATTATACAATTTATATATACTTCAATAGTTAAATCTCGATCTTAAACTTCTAGAACTTGTCTTAGTTTGAACAGCAGTCTGAATGAGGGCAAGAGCAGGTTTTAGGGACTTGAGACACTGAAAATCTAGGTACCTGTAAAGAATGAATTTTAATCAACGTTATATTAAAATCTTGCAGAAAGTTTAGAAACTATACATGAAATACGGCCACATTGTTGCCTCCTCTCTCACAATTTCTCTTGTACCCCAAGGTCCAAAAATGTACCTTTATTGGCTCTGCGGCTCAGTGCATTGTGTCTTAAAGTCTCACTACTCACTAGTGTATTACTCTTTTCTAACATTTAAGACAGATCTAGAAATAATTGATTATGTTATTAATTAGATTTCAACGTGTAAGACTAGGGAGGAAGAGATGAAGGTAGGACTAAGATTGATAGCGGCTAAGATTCCGCACCATCAATTTGGCGGCAATGCAGACTCACAGGATGATCCAAAGCAACCCGTAACTTAGACCCTAGCTAGACAGTACGTTACGCGTTGCGTAGTAGATTACGTAATGGAGTTTTTGTTCTAGCTAGACGGTAGTACGTGATCCTGTATTTGATTCTAACTAGACGGCACGTATTACAGTACCTGATATAGTATTTGATACTAGCTAGACCACATAAGACCTTCACGGACGTTCTACTAGAAGACGAAAATCCTTCCAGATTTCATCTGGATCGACCTAGGCAGGTAGGAACTAGGCAGGTGCTTGAAATCGGTAAAGGATACCAAGGTTGCAATGTCAGAGTTAATTAATTCAACGCATGTTACCTTACCATCAGTGAATCTAAGTTCTAACTACCTCCTTAGTGCTCTCGTAGTCATCAATATAGTCTCTGTTCAGACTGTTTGAGGCCAGATAACCATCAAGTTGGGACTTGAGCTAATATATTTTGAATTCGATTTTTCTTCGTTGTATTTAATAATTAAATTCATTTAGCTGTTAGCTTACGTTTCCGGCCGTAGGCTCAGTTTGAATTATCCCTACAATGTTTTCCCCCCTTGAAAGTCATCTCACTTGCGACTGAGGAAGGGGGTGTCCAGAATGTTGGTTTTCCGCCTGCTCCAGCTTGTCCTTCAAATATCTGATCACCACGTTGTACGGAGATACGGGCCCGTCTGAAGTACTGCGTAGGAGTTGGTCAGTTAAGATTCCAAGTCACTGCATGTATCATAACCTTTCTCTGATTGAGTCGTCAGTATCACTGTACCTTAAGAACGACAAATTTAGTCTACCATAAATTTAGTCAAACTTTTGACCATGTGACTAAAATTGTTGTTAACCAAATTTCATGTGACTAAATTTTTCGGCGATTAATTTTGAAGTAGACCAAAATTTTAGTACGAATTAAATTTTATTGAGCCTAAATTCTTTATCATATGTTTAAGATAACAGTTAAATATCGCTAACTGTACACAGGTCCCTACTGCGTGTATAAATAAGAAATTGTATGCTAACGGGTGATGACTAAAAAATGGGACTTTTTTCAAGGGTCTTTTTAGTGTCGATAAAACTATTTTTGGTTCAAACCAATGAAACAGCGTTGTAAAGCGGGCAATTTTGAACAAGTATGGTCAATGACAAGCGCCCATGAGCCCATTTTGATTGGTTCAGGAGGGCTTCTTTCTTCAAGCTCAAAAATCCGTCTGTACAGTTGGGCCTAAAATCGTGTTGGCGCAGTCTCTTCTTTTGTGCCCTAGGGCTCATGTAGGCTTTCTAGCCATATTTCGGGCATGTACATGTGTTGCCAGGACTCCAAAAAAGTCCTCTATGGGTTGAGATTGTCAAAATTTACTTTGGTCGATCACTTTTTGGACGAAATTAACCCTACATATTTTTGAATTTGCTCACGACTTCTCATTTTTAGGTCTTATCTCTAATCCTAAAGGCTTTGACATCTTTCAAACAACAAACATTTAGTCATGTGACTGCCCTGGAAATATAACCGAGAGTACAGCCAAAACGGATCACCAGGGAGCCGGTTATGTGGCTCACCAGCAGTTCCTACTGGGTCATTTTCGTAAGTGCCATAATACAGGATGGCATTTTTGTCTCTGTAGCTCTGGCTACCGACCTCTGCTGCTAAAATCGCTTTAGGATGTGATAGATGGGAAGTTTAGGCATACTCTCTGCTAAAAAGTTTTTGGTATGGAAGCTTGAACTACCTGTGAGGCGACTTCTGTGAACAGTGCTTTACTGTAAAAATTTTATAGGACCCCTCCCCTAGTTCGAGACCATTATCGGGGACAAAGATCAACCAATTTGATCAAATGGGGGCGGAGACTGTTCGAGTATCGTTCAGAGTAACTGGTGGTTGTGGTAAAATATCAAAATGTTGTTCAGGTGGAAGCTGAGGGCTAAAAAACATGTAGTCCCATTTTTTATTCATCACCCGTTATGATATGTAACTAATGTATGTAATGTTGGCTCGCCGTTGCAATGTTCCCAGATCGAGAACATTCCTCATTACAAAAATAGGGGCGTATGGTGTAAGCTACAGGATCACGAAGTTGATAATTTGTCCACGTGACCGTTTGGTGCGCGGTGTGCACGTGGGGCCATGGGAAATTTCGGATACAAGTGGACTACAAATTTGCGAAATTTGTGCTCCCCCAAGTCTGCAGGCCATAAAAAACTTTATCAAACTGTACGTCACATGTTGACTTTCACACACCCATATGCATAAAAACGATATATTATATTTCAATTTTGCATCGGCAATTTAGGGCGGTGGAGGCAGACACATAAGTGATATACGGAATTGTAATTAATACTTAAACAAAAAAAACTATGTGACTGCTACAATTTGCTGATCACTTGATCATATGGGAGGGGCCCTAGAATATAAAAGCCCGACTCAAATCAATCAGTGACCAAATCTCGCATTTTTAGTTTAAATCTTTAATAAGTTATGCCAAGACCTAAGGTAGCATCTACAGCTTGTGATTTATGTGGGAAGCAGGAGCGAGGTTACACCCGGGTTGCCCCGGATGCAACTTCGGAAACAGCTAGCCAAGCGTTCACCAGCATCGTTACTTTGTTAGGCGGGGTTTTCCCTTTTAAAGAGCTGGTGCTGTGCAGATCACACTGTTGGCGTTATGTGATTCATTTAGCTAAGGAACTGAACAAGGTTATTTAAAGAATACTCACTTGAATTGTTAGTTGATTTATTAATATAGAGATCGTTCCGAGCATTCGTTTTTCTGATAGCGTCATCTCGTTTATACTACGTAACAAGTAAAAAAACAGGCCCGTCTTTAATCAATGTTATAATTTAACATACCAAATTATTGCATTCAGAGTAAAGTAATAGTACGCTCCTCCACTTCTTTTCGAAACCTACCGTTCGTTCATTAATATCAATATTCTAGAGTTACAATTAATAAACTAATATAAGACGTTTAGTCGATGAACTAAAAGTTGTTTTTTGAGTCGTCTACAAAACTTGACTCAGATTTGAATATGATTTATCAGGATGGCCTTCATTTCATTAAACGTGCTGCCCAATATTCTAGTATCCGATCGCAATCATATTGTTACTTTGATTCTAATATTTCAGTATTATGACTGGCGTTTTATACTTCTAAGTTCTAATCTAGTTACAATAGTGAAGTATTACACAATTTTGACGCATCAAGTCTCTTTACAATGCCTGGAAAAGTGCGAGTTGTGAATTCAGAATTGTTGTATTTTTATTCGCCAACATATTGTAATTAATTCACCATATTACATTGGCGCGTGCCACCAAATCTCATTCGTGTAGTAAAGTAGTAAGAACATACGATATACCAACCGATCCGGTGTAAATTACACCATGGCGCATAACTAATGCTAAATTAAAATTGCACAGTGTACCTCGTGTAACCGTGTTATAAAGGAATATCCCATAACAACTGTGAGTACGGTCAGATTCATGTATTAACTGAACAAGCTATTTGTTACATGAACTATAAATGTTACTTCTAATCAAATCACAATATTTAAGTGTTACACTTCTAATCGTATCATAATATTTAAGTGTCCCACTTCTAATCTTGTTACAATATTTAAGTGTTACATTTCTAGTCATGTTACATTATCAAAGTGTTACACTTCTGAAAATGTCACAATAGATAATTGTGACGCATCAAGTCTTGTTTCAATACCTGATCTGGAGTAATTGTAGTTCCCTCGCAAACTAAACTTGTCTCCTTGAAATCGGCCACATTGTCTCTTCAAAATGTTGTGCTGTGAATCAGTTCCTGCGATAAGTTGACTGATACAGTAATCATTACAGTTCTAAAGTTCAGCTTAAAATCAAAACTCCTCCTTCCACAGACAAATTACATTACTGTCAATACCGTTAAATCGTTCAATAGTTAGAAACAGTAGGATTTAAGGACAGCTATGTGATTATATTAGTTAGCTAGATTATATTAGTACTAGCAAGTTTCAAAGTCAAGTAAAATAGGTCCTGTGAAGTGTGAAAACACCAGATGTGTTACAATATATTAGTGAAGCGTGACACTTCTAGTCTTATTACAATAAGGTGCTAGCCGGAGGCTCTTCTGACGTTTAGGATAACATGATATGAGCTAAAGCTTTCTTATTGTAAAGGCTGGAAAAGTGTGAGTTGTGAATTCAGAATTGTTGTATGTTTTTGTATTTTATTCACCATATTACATTAGCGCGTGCCACCAAATCTCATTCGTGTAGTAAGAACATACGATATATAACTAACCGATCCGGTGTAAATTACACCATGGCGCATTACTAATACTAAATTAAAATTGCACAGTGTACCTCGTGTAACCGTGTTATAAAGGAATATCCCATAACAACTGTGAGTACGGTCAGATTCATGTATTAACTGAACAAGCTATTTGTTACATGAACTAATGTTACTTCTAATCAAATCACAATATTTAAGTGTTACACTTCTAATCGTATCATAATATTTAAGTGTCCCACTTCTAATCTTGTTACAATATTTAAGTGTTACATTTCTAGTCATGTTACATTATCAAAGTGTTACACTTCTGAAAATGTCACAATAGATAATTGTGACGCATCAAGTCTTGTTTCAATACCTGATCTGGAGTAATTGTAGTTCCCTCGCAAACTAAACTTGTCTCCTTGAAATCGGCCACATTGTCTCTTCAAAATGTTGTGCTGTGAATCAGTCCTGCGATAAGTTGACTGATACAGTAATCATTACAGTTCTAAAGTTCAGCTTAAAATCAAAACTCCTCCTTCCACAGACAAATTACATTACTGTCAATACCGTTAAATCGTTCAATAGTTAGAAACAGTAGGATTTAAGGACAGCTATGTGAGCGATTATATTAGTACTAGCAGGTTTCAAAGTAAAGTAAAATAGGTCCTGTGAAGTGTGAAAACACCAGATGTGTTACAATATATTAGTGAAGCGTGACACTTCTAGTCTTATTACAATAAGGTGCTAGCCGGAGGCTCTTTTGACGTTTAGGATAACATGATATGAGCTAAAGCTTTCTTATTGTAAAGGCTGGAAAAGTGTGAGTTGTGAATTCAGAATTGTTGTATGTTTTTTGTATTTTATTCACCATATTGCATTAGCGCGTGCCACCAAATCTCATTTGTGTAGTAAGAACATACGATATATAACTAACCGATCCGGTGTAAATTACACCATGGCGCATTACTTATACTAAATTAAAATTGCACAGTGTACCTCGTGTAACCGTGTTATAAAGGAATATCCCATAACTTAACTGTGAGTACGGTCAGATTCATGTATTAACTGAACAAGCTATTGGTTACATGAACTAATGTTACTTCTAATCAAATCACAATATTTAAGTGTTACACTTCTAATCGTATCATAATATTTAAGTGTCCCACTTCTAATCTTGTTACAATATTTAAGTGTTACATTTCTAGTCATGTTACATTATCAAAGTGTTACACTTCTGAAAATGTCACAATAGATAATTGTGACGCACCAAGTCTTGTTTCAATACCTGATCTGGAGTAATTGTAGTTCCCTCGCAAACTAAACTTGTCTCCTTGAAATCGGCCACATTGTCTCTTCAAAATGTTGTGCTGTGAATCAGTTCCTGCGATAAGTTGACTGATACAGTAATCATTACAGTTCTAAAGTTCAGCTTAAAATCAAAACTCCTCCTTCCACAGACAAATTACATTACTGTCAATACCGTTAAATCGTTCAATAGTTAGAAACAGTAGGATTTAAGGACAGCTATGTGAGCGATTATATTAGTACTAGCAGGTTCAGAGTCAAGTAAAATAGGTCCTGTGAAGTGTGAAAACACCAGATGTGTTACAATATATTATGTGAAGCGTGACACTTCTAGTCTTATTACAATAAGGTGCTAGCCGGAGGCTCTTCTGACGTTTAGGATAACATGATATGAGCTAAAGCTTTGTTATTGTAAAGGCTGGAAAAGTGTGAGTTGTGAATTCAAAATTGTTGTATGTTTTTGTATTTTATTCACCATATTACATTGGCGTGTGCCACCAATCTCATTCGTGTAGTAAGAACATACGATATACTAACCGATCCGGTGTAAATTACACCATGGCACATTACTTATACTAAATTAAAATTGCACAGTGTACCTCGTGTAACCGTGTTATAAAGGAATATCCCATAACAACTGTGAGTACGGTCAGATTCATGTATTAACTGAACAAGCTATTGGTTACATGAACTAATGTTACTTCTAATCAAATCACAATATTTAAGTGTACACTTCTAATCGTATCATAATATTTAAGTGTCCCACTTCTAATCTTGTTACAATATTTAAGTGTTACATTTCTAGTCATGTTACATTATCAAAGTGTTACACTTCTGAAAATGTCACAATAGATAATTGTGACGCATCAAGTCTTGTTTCAATACCTGATCTGGAGTAATTGTAGTTCCCTCGCAACTAAACTTGTCTCCTTGAAATCAGTCTCTTCAAAATGTTGTGCTGTGAATCAGTTCCTGCGATAAGTTGACTGATACAGTAATCATTACAGTTCTAAAGTTCAGCTTAAAATCAAAACTCCTCCTTCCACAGACAAATTACATTACTGTCAATACCGTTAAATCGTTCAATAGTTAGAAACAGTAGGATTTAAGGACCGCTATGTGAGCGATTATATTAGTACTAGCAGGTTCAAAGTCAAGTAAAATAGGTCCTGTGAAGTGTGAAAACACCAGATGTGTTACAATATATTAGTGAAGCTTGACACTTCTAGTCTTATTACAATAAGGTGCTAGCCGGAGGCTCTTCTGACGTTTAGGATAACATGATATGAGCTAAAGCTTTCTTATTGTAAAGGCTGGAAAAGTGTGAGTTGTGAATTCAGAATTGTTGTATGTTTTTGTATTTTATTCACCATATTGCATTAGCGCGTGCCACCAAATCTCATTTGTGTAGTAAGAACATACGATATATAACTAACCGATCCGGTGTAAATTACACCATGGCGCATTACTTATACTAAATTAAAATTGCACAGTCTACCTCGTGTAACCGTGTTATAAAGGAATATCCCATAACTTAACTGTGAGTACGGTCAGATTCATGTATTAACTGAACAAGCTATTGGTTACATGAACTAATGTTACTTCTAATCAAATCACAATATTTAAGTGTTACACTTCTAATCGTATCATAATATTTAAGTGTCCCACTTCTAATCTTGTTACAATATTTAAGTGTTACATTTCTAGTCATGTTACATTATCAAAGTGTTACACTTCTGAAAATGTCACAATAGATAATTGTGACGCATCAAGTCTTGTTTCAATACCTGATCTGGAGTAATTGTAGTTCCCTCGCAAACTAAACTTGTCTCCTTGAAATCAGTCTCTTCAAAATGTTGTGCTGTGAATCAGTTCCTGCGATAAGTTGACTGATACAGTAATCATTACAGTTCTAAAGTTCAGCTTAAAATCAAAACTCCTCCTTCTACAGACAAATTACATTACTGTCAATACCGTTAAATCGTTCAATAGTTAGAAACAGTAGAATTTAAGGACAGCTATGTGAGCGATTATATTAGTACTAGCAGGTTTCAAAGTCAAGTAAAATAGGTCCTGTGAAGTGTGAAAACACCAGATGTGTTACAATATATCAGTGAAGCGTGACACTTCTAGTCTTATTACAATAAGGTGCTAGCCGGAGGCTCTTCTGACGTTTAGGATAACATGATATGAGCTAAAGCTTTGTTATTGTAAAGGCTGGAAAAGTTTGAGTTGTGAATTCAAAATTGTTGTATGTTTTTGTATTTTATTCACCATATTACATTGGCGTGTGCCACCAAATCTCATTCGTGTAGTAAGAACATACGATATACTAACCGATCCGGTGTAAATTACACCATGGCACATTACTATACTAAATTAAAATTGCACAGTGTACCTCGTGTAACCGTGTTATAAAGGAATATCCCATAACTTAACTGTGAGTACGGTCAGATTCATGTATTAACTGAACAAGCTATTGGTTACATGAACTAATGTTACTTCTAATCAAATCACAATATTTAAGTGTTACACTTCTAATCGTATCATAATATTTAAGTGTCCCACTTCTAATCTTGTTACAATATTTAAGTGTTACATTTCTAGTCATGTTACATTATCAAAGTGTTACACTTCTGAAAATGTCACAATAGATAATTGTGACGCATCAAGTCTTGTTTCAATACCTGATCTGGAGTAATTGTAGTTCCCTCGCAAACTAAACTTGTCTCCTTGAAATCAGTCTCTTCAAAATGTTGTGCTGTGAATCAGTTCCTGCGATAAGTTGACTGATACAGTAATCATTACAGTTCTAAAGTTCAGCTTAAAATCAAAACTCCTCCTTCTACAGACAAATACATTACTGTCAATACCGTTAAATCGTTCAATAGTTAGAAACAGTAGGATTTAAGGACAGCTATGGTGAGCGATTATATTAGTACTAGCAGGTTTCAAAGTCAAGTAAAATAGGTCCTGTGAAGTGTGAAAACACCAGATGTGTTACAATATATCAGTGAAGCGTGACACTTCTAGTCTTATTACAATAAGGTGCTAGCCGGAGGCTCTTCTGACGTTTAGGATAACATGATATGAGCTAAAGCTTTGTTATTGTAAAGGCTGGAAAAGTGTGAGTTGTGAATTCAAAATTGTTGTATGTTTTTGTATTTTATTCACCATATTACATTGGCGTGTGCCACCAAATCTCATTCGTGTAGTAAGAACATACGATATACTAACCGATCCGGTGTAAATTACACCATGGCACATTACTTATACTAAATTAAAATTGCACAGTGTACCTCGTGTAACCGTGTTATAAAGGAATATCCCATAACAACTGTGAGTACGGTCAGATTCATGTATTAACTGAACAAGCTATTGGTTACATGAACTAATGTTACTTCTAATCAAATCACAATATTTAAGTGTTACACTTCTAATCGTATCATAATATTTAAGTGTCCCACTTCTAATCTTGTTACAATTTTAAGTGTTACATTTCTAGTCATGTTACATTATCAAAGTGTTACACTTCTGAAAATGTCACAATAGATAATTGTGACGCATCAAGTCTTGTTTCAATACCTGATCTGGAGTAATTGTAGTTCCCTCGCAAACTAAACTTGTCTCCTTGAAATCAGTCTCTTCAAAATGTTGTGCTGTGAATCAGTTCCTGCGATAAGTTGACTGATACAGTAATCATTACAGTTCTAAAGTTCAGCTTAAAATCAAAACTCCTCCTTCCACAGACAAATTACATTACTGTCAATACCGTTAAATCGTTCAATAGTTAGAAACAGTAGGATTTAAGGACCGCTATGTGAGCGATTATATTAGTACTAGCAGGTTTCAAAGTCAAGTAAAATAGGTCCTGTGAAGTGTGAAAAACACCAGATGTGTTACAATATATTAGTGAAGCGTGACACTTCTAGTCTTATTACAATAAGGTGCTAGCCGGAGGCTCTTCTGACGTTTAGGATAACATGATATGAGCTAAAGCTTTCTTATTGTAAAGGCTGGAAAATTGTGAGTTGTGAATTCAGAATTGTTGTATGTTTTTGTATTTTATTCACCATATTACATTAGCATTTAGCGCGTGCCACCAAATCTCATTCGTGTAGTAAGAACATACGATATATAACTAACCGATCCGGTGTAAATTACAATATTTAAGTGTTACATTTCTAGTCATGTTAAATTATTAAAGTGTTACACTTCTGAAAATGTCACAATAGGTAATTGTGACGCATCAAGTCTTGTTTCAATACCTGATCTGGAGTAATTGTAGTTCCCTCGGAAACTAAACTTGTCTCCTTGAAATCGGCCACATTGCATTACTGTTAATACCGTTAAAATTACATTACTGTTAATACCGTTAAATCGTTCAATAGTTAGAAACAGTAGGATTTAAGGACGGTTCTATACTAGTTCTGTGAGCGATTATATTAGTGGCAGGTTTCAAAGTCAAGTATTCAAAGTCAAGTAAAATGGGCAATATGAAAATTATCCTGTATCAAGAAAAATTTTGAAGCCAGCCACTTTATGAGTGGTCTCAAGTCGACAAAAACTTTCCATATAATATGATTATTGAATATTAAATGTTAGTTAGGCGAGACATATTTTGTTTTATCATAATAATTAACCTAATTTACTTTATAACTGTTTCTTTTGCCAGATTGAAGACGTTCAGGGCCAAGTCGACCAGTTTCGTATTAACATATTGGGGACAAGCAGACAGCCCAAAGCGTCCTCGACCACGAGAACAGCAGTTAGTTCATCTCGATCAAGATGTAAGTGAATTAGTGAAATTTGCCAAATTTAATACAATTTAAAGCAACAATCATGTTTAAAAAAGTTTATAGTATGTCTATTATATTAAAACTTGACTATAAAAACTAATCTACACACAGTCAAAGAAAACAGATTTCGAATTAAGATAACTTAATTTCTCAATTTTAACCTGGGTCAACTGTTATTACTTCCATGAAATCTAATATTGAAAACTCTTCAAATGCCAAAGGCCAAAGCCACTGCTATCTTAATTTGTAATTCCTTCTCTGTATCAGGAACAGTCGAGTTCTGCCCTCCTTGACACCTTGGTACGCTTGCTGACAAAAGAACGACGGCAGCTACTCGCATTAGAAAATCCATCGATTTTGCGAATGAAAAATACGGAGATAATTGCAAGTGATGGGACAAAAAGTGGTAGGTTATTTTTCGCCTGATAATCTGATTGCTAACAACTGGTGTCTAATTGAAATAACTGGTAGGGATATAATGATTCGTTCGATGTGGAAATCATGACTACTATTTCAGAGATATCAGACTACAGATGTCTTGAGATGGTGGACTCCTCAGCTGATAGCTGAGGAGTTATGCGATCGAGCATCGGTAACATACAAGATAATGTCAACACTCCTCCGGAAAGTAGACGACAAAGACGATGCTTTACAAAAGCGAATTGGCATCGCGACCGGAGTTATCATGAATTTAATGAGCCAGAAAATGAGTGTGTATGCTACGAAGCTGGGTGTCACACTGGTTGCTTCAGGTAACCCATGTAATATTTCAGTAACATTATGCAAGAGTGGCCTGCCTGGCAAACCCCGTATTCTACTTTAATATTCCACCTTCTAGTATATATATACTTGTAATTTTTCAATTTTCATTTTCTTATCGTATCGTATATGTTTACCTCGCCCGCCCGCGCCCGTCTGAGTCTGTGCATCTTATACCCTTGTATTTAATGTCTTCCATAGAAAAAATAGGCTCTAAATGGTTATAAGTAAAACTTCTTAGGTTTGTCGAACAGATCTATTGACGTGTTGGGGTCAATGGGGATCACTTGTTCCAGCAAAACTGCCAGGGGAATTATTAAGCTTGCGGGAAATAAATGTGACGAAATGGCAATGATAATCCTGGAATTCCAGAAGAAAGCTATCACTCTACCAGATATCACTTTAAGTTCGCTCGCAGACCTGCTGGACGAGCTGATGAAGGCCCCGTACCTTTACTTTGGAAGAAACCGGTTTCCTCATAAGTTTGTGCTAAACGGTAAGATTAGCTGAAGACTATTTACACACGTATTTTGAAAGCTCTTGCAAATAAAATCTTTTCGTATCACTTATATGTTTTAAATAAACCCCCTCCAGGTAAGATCACGTTCAAAGATTGTGACCAAATCACTAACATATCATATTTAAATTTACTTTTATTTCTTCCGAGATAAAATTTAACGATCGTCAACCACTAATCACTTGTACTGTTATTTCAGAGTCAGGGGGTATATCAATAGGATACGCTAATGTTGATTATCCTATCCCTACTCGTATTCTTGTTCCTCGTGGAGTGCTTGGTGGGGACAATTTCAACAGGGTAATAAAGACGCAGAGCTGGGGCAAGGAGACCCGGATAGATATATTTCACCTCATGATTGTGATTCAGGGTGTGCGTGCTCCTATATCCATGTCGTGGACAAAACCTGAGATACCGATCAAGAACCTCACAGGTATTGTAGGTATTATAACATGAAAATTGCTCTATACTAGCATTAGTACTTATATTATGAACTATGAAGATCCACAACTACGAACTTCTCGTAAGAGCGCTAATATTTATTGTAATTATTACATATCTAATAAAAAAAATTATTCACGTAAAATTATACAAACTAAAACTAAGCTATTTCAGAAGCTGATCTCAGACCCTCGTCGGCCGAGTGCGAGTTGCTCCAGAGCCAGTTCGTCGAGGAGGCTATGATTGAGATCGTGGACAAAGATCCGGATCTAACCTTCGCGAAGGAATGGTTTAATCCTCATCTTCAGCACAAACTGAGGAAGACCATGGATCTCGCCTCTGTCGTCGCAACCTGGGAATAGTGGACGAAAACCAGGTGTCAACCGCGGGAACCATTAAACATCCTGAAAACCGCAGCAAAATATTGCAATCTGGATGGGGTAAGTCTTTACGAATTTGTGTGTGTGTAACTTCATTGATCATTCCTTCGGTTTCGAGACTGATTTTCGTAAACTTAACTCTGGGCTTTAATAGGTGTGTTGTGATAACTTAATTAACTAAACAACAAAGTTGACGAAGAATAAAATATTCAGATCACATGGTTTTTTGGCGACCAGATGACACAAGAGAAAGTGCAGAATGCCAAGATCGCCATGGCAAGTGTCAACGACCCAGTACACAAGCACACGAGTACGACGGGAACTTTCACACCCTCATGACACTCCTCACGGTATGCGTTCTAATGAAAAATTAACTTATTCAGATCGTGTTGTTATTAAATGTAAGACCACACAGAATTGTTTCCGATGTTATAAATCCTTTGGAGTTGTTCCACGAGAACGCGCTGATAACCAACCTCACAGTTACAAGTTACTTAACTAAAGATTATCAATTCTGACATTTAACTCTTGACCTTCTAAAACTTTATGTGTTCATTTTAAAATATATTTTATTTAAAAGCTAATAGTTAGTATGTGATTAGCATGAGTTACAAGAGTAACAAGAGTAACAAGAGTAACAATACATTTTTTTAAAAAAATATCAACATATCAGGCAATAATGAAGCTGGTCCACTCCGAAGAATCCAAACTAGAGAAGGCCTCTTTTACAGGAAGCTGCTACGCATTAGGTAATCCCAAGGCGGCCATCTCTAATGTCAAAAAGGCGTACCAGAAGTGTTTAAACGCCTGGACGCATTACTGGAAAGCAATGCTACTCAGTGCTTGGGATAATATGAAGGAAGACCACCCCGAGACGATGGAATTGTTATCTCAATCACAGGGAAAAGAGGCATTTATGACAGAGCTAAGGTTTGCATCAACATCGAGTTATAATCATAATCAGATCTCATATTTATAATCGTTATCTGCCACGAGTAAAACAAATTATTATTAGTTTCTCATACAGTACTGTACAACTTTTTGAGAATAAAAGACGCGGTGTATTGGGTATTGAGTTAGTTAACACGTTTAATTTTTAGCTGACGTCATTTATTTTCAAGGTGCAGTGGTTACGAGGTTAATGGACAGGATACTCCAGTTTAAAGTTAGTGACTGGAGAACGAACTTTCCCGTGTTTCAGTGTCCTGTGATTGATTGCCAGGTAAAATTTATCACACTATTGACATTTGATACCTGACAGTCGTACCGTACCTTTAAAGTAAAATTCCTCGATCATTAGTTTTTAAATGAAAACTGTCTCAATCTTTTATAATCCAAGTTTTAAACAGCCTGAAATTTAACGACTGACAAAGCTGCTTAAATAGGAAAAACTCTCGTCTGATTTATTGCAATAAAGCATCCTAATCTCAATTTACAAATGAACTCTAAAAAATATATCTATTGAAATTTGATACTGACCTGGACCATTATAATTATGCAGGGCTGAGAAAACTAACCGGGCACTTCTGGTGCGGCACCTAGAGAAAGATCACAAGAAGAAACCAGAGGTCGCGGAGAGAAATGTGGAGGACAGATACGGACATTTGAAATCCGATGACCCATTGTAAGTTTGATTTAAGCGTCAATTTTGTAATTCCACAAATGATGTACTATGATTATATTGACGGAGGGAGTGTTCATAAAACGTATCATACATCTACAATTAAAAGGACCATAGTTGTAGCCCAATCTTTATCAGGGATCGTATGAATCTTTATTCGCTGGTCTATTAGCAGATGATTAAATTAAAATATTCAGAATACACTGCTCCATAACTTAACTTGAACTTATCAGGTTTAACTACGGAAGACAGGTTCTCTATCTAGGTCTGCTCAACCACAATTTGATAAAGGCCATCAGCTACGGGGACGGGGAAAGAGAAACGTTGTGCCTCAAGTTCACAACCTCCATCTTTCGGTCGCTGGGGCACAACAAATATGCGTACCTGATGGTGAAAAGGCAGATAACCACCAAGAGCATTCTCCCAGAAGCTGCGGCCTATGAGTACGTTCACAACACAACAATCGGTAAGTTTCATCAACATTTTTTAAAGCTATGAAAGTTCATAGATTTTCTTAAGTCTTCGTTGCTGCAAACATGTTAACCGAACGAAACAGTGTAATATTCCCGGATTCTCCAGGTATGGGAATCGACCCGGTAAGAGGAAGTCCATGGACTATGTGATGGAGTTAGCCAACCTCATCCTCTCGCAGCTGATGGGCCAATCTTTCACAAAGGACAGCATTGGTGTGTCTGCAAGAGCCATCAACTATCTTGACGGTTTGAAAAAGGAAGTCGAAAATGAAATAAGAGGTAAACTATTTCAAAGATCAATTAATATTATTATTCTGTTATTAATGATTTACCTAAATTTAGTAACTTGGCTCAACATGTGCTTTATTGCTTTATCCTCTTTCATGAGAATAATTTAAACTAAATGAATTAAACGAAATTTCTGACTTATTCACATACAGGTATTAGTAGAAAAAAGAGCAAGGCGGAGAAAGACGTGGAGGTCCACAGAAAACTTATGACAGTCATAAAGGGAAAAGACCTCTTCCGGTACAACCGCAGGAAGAAAGCCTTTTCCTGGACTCAACACTGCTAGGAACCTGCACAAGGACAGCAGACACACCAAGACATTCAATCTCTATCTCGCGGACAGTAAGTTACATAGCTTTTATCAATACAATAACATTAACAATTATCTGTGATCAATAAGTGACAATTGTGGCAATTCTTTATGAACTGGCGTAGCTATTAAGCTACGCTGTATCCTTACGAGAAAGCTAAACAAAAGGTTACAAATAAGAGACAGGCCATACAGCAGTGCATATCGAGACATAAACTAAACTGAGCTACCAGCCGTTAGCTCATTATTATATCATTGAATCCTTTGGCTTCCTGTAATGGGTAGTTACACTTGTATCACAATGTGGCTGTTGGAAAGTCCGAAGTAAAATTAAGTGGGAGATTTTAAAAAACTGAAAACTATCACACGACTGCACTGGTTTAATTTATTATTTTGTGTTCACAGGTTTAAAAAACGCTATAAAAGGACACGCCAGAAAGAATATGGTGACAATTGAGGATCTGGCTGACGGTACAATGTTGGATGATGAGGAAGATGAGGAGGAAGCTGATGATGAAGAGCTCGCAGAGGAAGAAGATGAGTGTGAAGAAGACGACCTCCTTCTTAAACACCAGCTTATAGTTAACTTTACAAACTATTACAAAGACCAAGAATAGCCAGAAAATATTTTTATTAAGGATCGTATTTAATTAGAAATTGAGTAGATATGATCCAATTGGAATAGAATTATAGCTGTACAAAAGGTGGAAAACTCCTCGAGAGTTGACAATTGTGTCTCCCGCTCATGCACTTATGGTGGATGATTGCAGAAACTGGTAGCGTTTTGATATTGACTTTTGTCTTAATCAGTTGTGTTACTTTTTCGTAAATATCAGGGTGCCTCAATAATATGAAATGTACACACCTTCTTGGTTTTGTTATATTGTCTGTGTAAATGGTACATAATCCAGACTCATGTAAATACATCAATGTTTAACAACTTTCCACAACATACTTAATTACACTGTTTTATTCAATCTGCTAAGAATCAGAGAATGAACTAATTTACAATTGAAATACAAGAAACTATTTTACGCCGAAATCCATATCTGGTAAATATATATCCGTAACCGTTGATTATCTATATTTGTAAGTTGGAAACTTACCAACAATTGATCTAACAAATTGTACAGCTATGTTTGAGATAGAAAGCTCCCTCGCCCAACTGAACTTATCTGGTGAGAATTTGATATTTAAACGTAATACAAGATTTAAATTTGATCTACAAGTAAACCAGTTTTAATCCTTGTTTCTTGTAAAACTAAAATAAAAAGTTCGACTTGCAAATTAATGTATATTCTGACACTTAAATAGAGTTTGATGATATTAACTTAATCCACTAATAATATCATTCATATAATCACTAATCAGCGGTTTAAGTTAATTTTGAAAAGTCATAGTCCGAGAGTAATAAAAGTGTTTTTCAGATGTCCAGTCTGACCTTTGGGGAGATTTCGCAATAACGATGACAGAAGAGCAAAAAACTGGGGTAGCAAATGTTCTGTCGGGAAAGGATGTCGTGGCAGCAATGCCGACTGGCAGCGGGAAGTCGCTTATCTTCCAAAGTATTACCTACTCGGCGGTCAAGCGAGGACTGAACTGCATAACATTGATAATAACACCATTAAAAGCAATTTCATATACTCACGTTACCACATTCAAAGAAAAGGTTGGTGAAGTATCTTTATCGGACATATTCTTATTTTTAGCAGTGCTGATTTTTATAGCTATTACCAGCTATTATCAGCTATTATCAGCTATTATCAGCCATGGTTCGACAATTTCCTTTATTCAATTTAAAAGCAATCGTTCTATGTGACTTTTAAAACTCAGGGTACCCATGATTAAAAACAGTATTCATCTCTCCGTAAGCGGAAGCACTCACAAAATTACAAAACTAATTGCAGTTTAGGGTCCGATGCTTGGATGCGGCAATTGATGATGTGGAGGCATTCAAAGGAAATGATTACAATGCGTTGGTGGTTCAGCCTGAGCTACTTGTCAGCTCTAAAGGAAAATTAGTGAGTGACAGTCGTTGATTATGCCAGATTGGAAACAAAATTATTTAAGAGTGATGTAGGACAGATTCTTAGGACTTAATGTGATAATACCTTGTACACTTATGACTTAAAATACCTTGAAACCCCTTCGTTAGCTCTGAAATGACCGTACAATTTTTGTATCGTTAACTTACTGCAGATATTAGACGCTGTTGGAGAAAGGTGTACGCTGTATGTGATAGATGAAGCTCATTGTTTAAAAACTTGGGGAGGAGGAGAACGGCCATTTAGAAAGAATTTTAAAGATCTCTCGCAGACAATCGCAAAATTAAAGGTAAGTCTTAATTTGAATCAGCAACTTTGTAGCAAAATTCGGTTGGTCTAGTAATCAGCACTAAAAAATACCTGTTAAATTTTTGTTTGAGTCATGATTCATATCTTAAGGTTTCAAATCATCTATGATCCGTCACCCACCACACCGTTTTCCTATTAAAGAGTAAGCAAATCATCAAAAATTAAATAGATGATCATTGAAACTCTTCAAATTCCGGACACTTTACAGTGCTTCAAAGTGTTTGTACTTTGTAAGCTAACTTTGTGTTTATTTTTATCAGAATAGACCAGTTATTCTTTGCCTCACTGCAACGATGAGCGAAATTTCTGAGAAAGTGACGATGAAAAGCCTGGGTATCGATCCGAAAACTGTAACCAAAATAGTAAAGAACCCAGTGAACAGACGCATCAGTTATCATAACAGTAAGGGATGCCTCAATATACAGCCACTGATCGAACTTCTTTGTGCGGGAACCTGCCCAAGAGTGATCATATTTGAAAGTAGCTTGGTGAAGTGCGGAGAACGATATCTTGAAATGAAAGAGGTTTTCTAATAATTTGTTTTATAAATATTCCATGAGGCTCAGTCAGCAATACATCCGATCTAAAATTATATTGAAGTACACATTTTCAATAACTAATTATAAAACTTTTAATATTTCAAAACCGACAATGTGACAATAAAAACTTCAGGCCCTATGTGATGCTGAGAGACCCGACCTGGTGGAAACAGTTGAGGTATTTCACTCCCAAATACCCGACATAAAACAAAACGAGATAGCCTCAAGCTTGATGACAGAGAATGGGATGGTGAGAATTGTTATCGCTACAAGTGCCCTAAGTATGGGGTTCGATGCAATAGGTAATTGTTACTATCTTAAGACTAAAAACAAAACAAAAAATAGAATAAGATACAGAAAAAAATCAAACAAATTATGCAAAACAATTAGCATGATTTAATAAGATGACATCTGCAATGAATGATTAAAATAAATGTTCTACCTCACAGGAGTTCAGTACGTCATTCATGTACAAATGACAAAAACCCTCGAAGATTTTCTACAGATGTCCGGTGAGCTAAGCTTTGACGGTTTTTAAATCATTCTTTGTGCTTGCGTACGCATTTTGATTTAACACGACCTTAGAAATGCTTCCAACCAACTACGCTACCACAAAACTTTAGCAATATATGATCCGTCGAATATTTTTTTGGAACCATCCGCTTACATATAAAAGCTACAAGTACATCTTTGAGGTTTTAAATTCAGATTCCCGTACAGGCCGAGCAGGACGGAAAGAGCATTTCAAAGCGTGCTGCCTTCTCTTTACAGATGACAAAACACGTGACATGGAGAAGTGCTGCGATCTGTATCGCAAACAAATGGATCAATGTCGAAGAATGTTTCAGTCTTTGTACTTTGATGGTAAGTTAGACAATAATTATATTAGTGCAATGAGTAAATTAAAGCGTTTTACGGCGTGTGGGTACAGCGAATAGGTATTATCAAGCAGACTAAAACTTAAAATACAAATTCAAAAACTTACCACATCCACGCTTTGCATGGCCGTGCTCCAGAGTCATCTTCTAAGTAATCGTTCATGACTCATATGGTATCTTTTTCACCTGCAGAGTTGGACGAATTAAAAATTCAGGGTGACACTTATTAATGCTTTTTATACAAAGTTACAAACGGGTTACAACTAAGTCTTCATATTATAATTATGTATCCTGGGTTTAGATAGGATATTACCCGCTTAAACATTTCCATCTTGTTACATAATACTCAAAAAATGTAATAGATTTGTAGTGTTATAATTAGTTTAAACTTAACTAAGACTAAAAGTTTAACTTTAGACAAAACTTTAGAAAAAAACTCGAAATTTATCGAGGGGAAAGATTATACAGTCTAGATTGCTAGATAAAAAGATATTAGACGATTAATAACTGAAAATTCGCACTCCTTTTTTAATTGACAACGACACTTGTTAGGGGAATGCGAGCCACACGACAATGTGGAAAACGATGGCTGCTGCGATATCTGTGACCCAGTTGTGAGTGACAACTTACTTAGGAATTTGTCAAAAGACAAACCGTCATCAACCTCAAGTTACAAAGGTAATAACTAATTAATCACTATTTTGGAGAACATGAAATAGTTACACCAATTCTACAACTGTTGGTGTAAGATTTTATCTTTGATATTGCACAGATTCGAGGTTGGATATCGTTTGATATTGGCTTAATTTCACAAAACTTCGCGTTATAAAGATGTTTTAATTGTTTAGTGGATCTAAAATTATTAAAAACATCATCACTTTGACAAAAACATACTTTTCAGAGTTGGTTTTATGCAGAAGAGTAGCAGATAAAGACAAAGAAGACTTCAAAAAAGCTCTGGAATACCAACAAACGTTCTACACCAACGAGATGCCGTTCGTTGATATTGGCTTAACGGACGGTATCGTTGCTTTGCTCGTTGCACATGTCAACAAAATAGCCAGCAGAGACGATATTCATCAATTAGTGCCGGGCTTAAGTGAAATCGTAGTAAAGGATATAATCTCGATTGTTAAAGACCTTTTTGATTTTTAAATCTTCTTTATTTCTCATTAGCCTTGGTGAAGTACCATGTAACAACTATATACATATAATAGGGACTTGGTTTTGCTAAATTTTATTTTACAGATTCTGTTAATGAAATTCCATATTGACACTATTGATCTTGCAGAAACATAGAGAATCTACCATTTATTTTAAATTGCAGCATAAAATTACTATTAGTAGATATTAATTTGTTTATCAGTGACAAGATTCGTTAAATTAATAAGTATGAGTAGACAACTTGATATTTTGATTTTTGTTTCTGACATAACCAACCGGGAGGTCGTTGATAATCAAGTCCCCAGATACATTTCTGGTCCAAAGGTTGCCTGGTCGTAACTGTTAACACCATCAAGATCTGACTACTCCACTGCCTGAAATAATTTCTATTATATTTTGGCCTAAATAAGCTGATCAGCGCTGACAAAATCTCGATATTTAGATTAAAACATATTCAGTTGATAAAACTTTCTCTGACTCACCATTTGGTACCATTAACATATTATACTTGTTAACAGTATCTGATTAGTTTCCACGCATTGCAGGAGTATGGGCTAATGATACAGACGAAATTAACTTTGACTAGACTAAGAAAAATATAAAGCTTAATAATGTCCAAATATAGCTCGTCAAAATTAGTCTGTGTAAGTATAATAACTTACACGGACCGGCCAGGTTGCAAATCTCACATATCTCTTATTTAACGTAATTAAATAAATCCAAATAGTAATTACGCCTAAGTCACAATCATTATGTTAAACGAAGAAATCGAGTTAAACACTATATTTTAAAGTTTTCTCACGCTTCGAATCTATGTTATTTCGATTTAGAATGATCAAACTTGTTATGACAGCTCATTAAAACAATTAGGCCCCGCGATCGATGCAAATGTATTTCTTCAAAAGCTAATGTACCAGTCACACAAAGCAATTTTTCACTGATTATACGAAATGTTCTAATTTCGAAGCGTAAATATGAAACACTGTTTTAGTTAAACCATATCTAAATTGGGTTGCCATTTCATTCTGATGCAGAAAATAATTAGGCAAGAATAAAGTTGATGATTTAAATACCAAAAGAGCAACAGGCTGCAGTTCTGCAAGCTGATAAGCAGCAACAAATTACCAATCATGGACCCTCAGTTCTCACGCTTAAAATTTGAGCATTATCAAATTGGTGTTACAATTATCAAAACGTATCAAGCCAGCTCGAAAAACAAATATCAAAAGACCACTGTAAATTATCTTCTTCAGGCAATGCAATAAAAAGAGAAGCTCATATGATAAACTACGGTATTTACTTATGTAAGTAAATACCAGCTAACAGACTCCACAAATACCTCCTGCAATATGAGATCACTGATCACATCGCATTAATGTCATGACACAGCTGGTAGGGCAAAAGAAACACATGAAACCACAGAGAAGCTTAAAATAGTATAACACAATTGACAACGGTACAAAAACCTAACATCAAACTAACTTGCATTGATTCAAGCATTGGATTTAATTGATTATTTAATTTATAATAATTGATTAGATAACACAAACTAGATAAACTGCTGCTTGATATTACAAGCTCTCCAAGATCTGAGAGTGATACTGATTATAGATAAGATTATAGATAAGAAATGATAGATAAGAAGTGATAGATAAGAAGTAATAGATAAGAAGTGATAGATTAGAAGTGATAGATAAGAAGTCCTTCGAGGAATGAATCAACAATGAGCAGCAAGCGAATAACATGTAGCGTCGGAAAAATAACGAGCATACAACACGTACCAAGTACAGAGCGATTGAAACATAGCTTCTAGAATAATCCACATTCTTCTAGAACGGATCCAACGCGTGCTAAGATATACCATGTGACAATGTCAGATGATTCAAATCTGACGTCGCAATTGATTGAAATATATCACGCGCTGCATCACGTGACACAGTTTTCGGCCAATCGTAACCGCGCGTCTTGGTCACGCTTGGAGTACAGCGCTCACTTTCAGCGTGATCAAATTCTGGCCTTGTAATTGGTTGCGCGCGCACGTCACGTGACGTATCTCGTAGCCAATGTCATTCTACGGCACAAATCTGCCGTAAAACTCCTCGTTTTTCTATGGTCTGGCCCGATGGCAAGAGCTACGAAGTAGCGCGCGCCGGGCCAGATCATTAACAATGGTCAAGTGTACCGTTCGCTTTATCCGAAGGGAAAAATGATACTTTACGTAACGCGCGATTTACGTCTTGGTAGCTAAATTATTCAAGCGCTATTTGTCAGAGCGACACAAATACGCGCGGCGCGAGCGCTTGCGCGGCTCTCTTGTCCACCACTCATGTTTACATCGTACCAGGCAATGGTTCAGTTTAATTATGGTAAGGGCACAGCCTGTCAAAAACCCTTTTCGGATGATCCGTCGACACCGCCTGAAGGTGACTGCATAATAACGGATCATCGTGGAATCAAACGTTAATAAGCTTGCAGCTTCCGATGTCAATGTATTCATCCTGGTGTCGCATGCTTGAACTGGTTTTGGACCTCTTCATGCTTTTAATTTATTTATTATTGTTATTTAGTATTATGAGCTGATGTGTACATATACATACGGTATCTAAAAATTAAGCGTATAGCGAGCATATTTAAACAATTTTCAAGCAATAATGTATTGCAAGCAGCTTCAACTTAAATATCGCATAAAAATCATTTAACTCAAAACTAAAATTTTATTGGAATATAGGAAAAACTAAAATAAAATTAATGTCAGACCCGTCGCCACTCTCAGCAGTCAACCAGGGCTCATAAAAGCTTAACAGCGCCTGGGTCCGTTCACCAACTGTGCTAATGTGAGTGGCGGTGTGGTAAGACCCATTTTTAACAGCGTGAATATTTATTAAATACAAGCGCGCTAGCTGCTAGCATACTTGTTTCATTTAATTTTAAATCAAATTTATTCGGATATATATTTATTGATTATGTATTGAATTGGTGATAAATAATAAAATTGTCTTTTCTCAAAAAATTGTCTTTTCTCTAATCACTATACACTGTCACGGAACTTTTTCAATCTGTTCTCTACTGGCTCTGAACGACTATTTAAATGTTAAAACCTTTTTTAATTGTATCTGATCCCAACCATAACCCTTTCCCAACCTCTGATCACAAAAGCATGAGCCTATGCTAAAATTCTAACCTTGACGGATGTTACTGGTCTAAATTTCTTCGAAGTAGCGCGCGCCGCTTTCTTCTCGAAATGTTGGCCCGATGGCAAGTGCTACGAAGTAGCGCGCGCCGGGCCAGATCATTAACAATGGTCAATCCTAACCCTAATAGAGAAATTCGACAACCTTGCTTTTAAGGTCATATCACGTGATCAAGATAATTTTTTGCCAATATCTCGTCAGGGGAATATTTTAACCCTATAATTGCTTTTTCACCTAACCATGTGCTTTCTCGAGGCCGGGCGGGCGGGCGCGCGCTACTGCAAGCGCAAGGGCTCTGGATAGAGCAAACTATCCAGTAGGTGAAACCTTTAACTTTGGTTTCACGTCGTGATCACTGATCCTCGTTGTCTTTTCACGTAGTCGTGATATGCTTGTATCACGTGGTGACCCCCACGTGGTGACTCCCACTGTCGACGATACAGGGGGAGCCGTGCACTTTGTGCGCTGCGGGTCATACAACGTATGATAACGATATGCAGCCGCGGCGGGCCTACAACGTGAGGTAAGATAGCCGAGGAGTGTTAATTTTTGAAAGGCAATTTAAAAAAATTTAAAAGTGATACTGATCGTGCTTCGGCCATCATAAAAACATTATGTCATCGGGCTGGCTATGGCCGGGTGCATATGCAAAGTTATACAATTAATCATGTTTCAGAAATTTGTAGCGCGATGCACTTCTGGGCCGCGTCGCACATCCAATAATACTTTTTTCAACCTTCGTTTAGTCAGAAATCTGGTAATAATATACTGTCGTATAAATATTTTTTGGTGTATGGTAAGATCGAGCGCTCGCCTTACCATACAAGAAATTGTCCGACATTGTAACGAACGACAGCACTGTTACGACGTTGTTGCACTCCTCAGTAGTCGATTTACCTGGCCTTGATCCATAGCCTTTACTTAAAGGTTTCATGTTTTACTTATTTCGCTAATTAATCAAAACTCTCTTCATCAGATAAGAATTGCTGTTCAGCTGTTATGTTGGACTGTTAGCAATTTTCTTGAAGCACTGTCAACTGTTTGCAGTTTGCCGAAAATCATACTGATGTCTTTCGCTTTCGTCGTATGAAATGGACAATTTTTCTTTTTATCACTTGTGATATGCTGACATAGAAGACTTTTGACTTTCCGATGTTATTCTTTCATTTTTGCTGCATGGCATTTGATATAATTGGATATATTTTGTTGTCTCTTAGGACCAATGAACATTCTGGATCCTACGTTTATAGGGCGTCTCTTTATCCAATCTTCAATTATGTTATCCTGATTGTTTGGCTGAGTCGATGGAGCCATGTGCGGGTGTTATTTTAATAACACATTTTATTTCATAATACCGCGTTTTATTTTGTATATTATTATCCCTAATTTCAGTGTATAGATAGGTTGTAACAGCATAGACCATATAAATCTATGGTACATGGCGGACTCAAGCTGCAACCTTGAATTTTCCAGTTAAAAGTTATACCAGTGACCACTATTCAACCAAGTCCTTTAAAGAAGCCATCTATCCAAATCTTAGCCCTTAGTGATCTAATTAGTAGATGACCGACTATAACTGGGTGCCAAATCGGGATATTGAGACTCTCACAACATTTCTTCCCTCACTGAAGATTTATTTGAATACAATTCTTATGTAATAAGAGGTTAAAACAACCTCCTTGGCCTCCAACCTCTGGCCATGATACTGCAGGTTACTCAAGTTTAAAGATCAGTAGTAACTAGGTATTTAATTTACTTATTTTGAAATGTTTCAAACAGTTACATCAAATCGATTTGGAACAGGGAGTTGTAGAGAAAGTGTTGTAACAAAAGTTGTACGCTTTCAAGATCCTACCCTAAAAAATTGATTTACTTAACAGACCAAAATGTCTTAAATTTCTGGCTCTTAGAGTGCTTCTGTTAGTGTTACCATGGTTACTTCAGGCTTATGAATATGACAGACACATGCTCTATGTGTTTATAGTCTATGATTTCAACTAATTTTACTGCGAATAATGTAATTTTAACACTGTTTATTTGTTGGCCTGTTGTTTTCGTAATTGTAAGCTGTTATTAAAACCAATTAAGTTCTCAACAAATTTTTCACTCCAGAAATTTGATGACATTGTCAGTAATCCAAGTCCAAGAAGTTCAAGAAGTTGCAGAGGTTGACATTATTTCAACAAATGGAACTGTTAAGGTTCGATCAACTACAATAAAACCTAAGAAGAAGAAGGTTCGTGTTTACTTGACCCGTACCAGCCTTCCTTCCTATTTACTGACAGATTCTCTGAAAGAGCTAGGATTCAGAGTTGATTTAATAGAATCTTCTTTTTTGCTAGCTGCCCACAGCAAGTTAAAATGCGATCTTCTTTGGTGTGGTTGTGAACATGATGAGGCTGTTCCAGCTAAACTGCAAAATAGGATACCGGCCATGAAGTTTGCTTGTAGAAAAGGTCCCATGTGCCAGTTGGTTAATCTAATGCATGAGCTCTTTCCTGGGCATTTCACATTCTTACCAATGTCATGGCCTATTCCCAGTCAGTATGCTGCTTTCTGTCATTATGCTTTTACTCAAAAGGATCCGAAGAATCCTCAGTTTTTTATTTTGAAACCTGATGAAGGATCACAAGGTGATGGCATATATCTCTTCAAATCTCCAATGGACATTACCCAAGGAACAATGTCTCGTAATTGTGTAGTTCAGAATTATATACACAATCCTCTCCTGATTGAAAACTATAAGTTTGATCTGAGACTGTATGTCCTCATTTCTAAACTTGATCCACTTGAAGCTTATTTGTGCAAAGAGGGTCTGGCAAGATTTTGTACAGAGAAGTATGAAAAACCAAGCACAAAAAATCTTGCAAAATCATACATGCATCTCACTAACTACTCCGTGAACAAATATAGCTCTGACTTCAACCGGGCAGAAGAAGTATCAGAGGGTTCTAAACGAACTGTGACCTCAGTTATGAAAACATTGGAGGCATTGGGCCATGACACTGAGAAAATATGGACATCAATCAAAGACATAGTGTTCAAGACTTTGATTTGTATTGCACCTCTAACAAAAGTAGAGCAACTCAACATGGACAATTTCAAGCCTAGCACCACCCAACACTTTCACTTGCTAGGCTTTGATATTTTGCTGGATGAAAATTTGAATCCATTTCTACTAGAAATCAATGGTTTTCCAAGCATGAGAACTGACTCAGAAATTTATGATGATCTGATGCAGAAAACGACTGTTCCCAGTCCTGTTGATGAAAAAGTTAAGAAAACTGCTCTAAAAGGAGCTCTTCATATACTGTTCAAAAATAAAGTTGATGAATCGTACTGTCCCGTTGTTGGCCCAGAAATATCGGATGACAGAAAACCTTATTTGATCTTTGAAGATTGTCGAAAGCTGTTCACTCTCTTCCTGAAGAAGTCAACACTACGCAAGGGTTCCATGTTGGGTTCATCCGGATTCAGGTCATTTGTGCGGTCTTGTAAAATACTCAGAATAATACCAGGTGTTACAAATGCAGACATGGACTTACTTTACATCAGTATCATTCAACAGAGCGATCAAAGCAGCCAGAAATGTTTATCATTCCTCTCATTTTATAGACTGGTGTTAACTTTGGCAGTAAGAAAGTTTCCTGATGAGCTCCGATATCTGGCATTGAAGCAATTCATCGACTTGTGTTTTGCCAACTATGCTGCTCCAACCAAATACCACTTCATTTAGTTAGGGTTTTGTAAATTTTGCAAAATTTTGATAAAACTGTGAATACATTATTATGTTTGAAATTATAGAGAAGTAATTGGAATCATTGATAATTGAATTTATTAGGTGCTTTATCATACTGTTATTAACGCAAACTATAGCTATGTAAGTTAATGTATAATGTACAATACGATTTATTGGATCAAATTATTCGTTTTTAGTTAAAAGTCATACAAATACTAACCAAAAATTATGTTATATTCTTAATATGATAATACGATTTAAACATCTTTTTTAAACTTTATAAACTGTATAGTGTGTAAAGATACATATTCTGGTCATTACCCGTATTTTCCCTTAATGATGCAATTCTTTTTCTAACTATTGAGTAAGGTGAAGTTATATAGATCAGAGATTTTTAATGAGATTTAAAACAAAGTATTCTGATGCATTGTGCAGGGTTAAGTTTATTAAACATTCAAGACTGGTAAGTGGTATATGTCGATAATTTCACTAACTGTATGTATTTTAGCTACAATTCGCTCTGGTGCCAAGAATTCATAGCGACGATAAACCACTTATTTGTTATTAAATCTTCTGCGATTTTCAACATTGAATTATTTGTTAAAGTCGTTTAGGTCTTTAGGTATAATGATAAGTTCTAGGTGTACGATCTAATTATTTCTAATATCTCTTATATTTCTGCCTGAGGTTGCAGGTATGGAGTTCAATTTGTGTTTAAATTTGTAAAACGTATTTTCTTTGATGTAAATGATTATTGTCTTTTATTATAAGATTGGTAACTCGTGTTTTATAAATAACTCGTGTTTTTTATAACAGTCAACAAAAAACGAAGTTTCCTTCTTAATCTCTACAATCCCAGTATTAAAATGTAATTTCCAGCAACTAAATTAAATTTGTACGGTCAACTTGATACCAGAATCGAGAACTTATAACTGCATTAACGTTAAAATGTTTACTTAAAGCGATAGGATCCCCATGAGAAGTGGCTTCTAACATGGGTGACGACTTCCTCAATTCATCTCTGTGTATCTGGGTGAGTTAATTGAGTACAGATTAGCTTTGATCTACATTCCACATGAATAATTCTCTACAAGTAGCGGACAACTGTTCACTTTCTTAGATCTTTATTAATCTGTCATCTTTAATTCATTGTACTCTCGAACACTTTTTGTGTATGGCCATGGTGCAGTCTTACTATTTTACACTATTTTACACTATTTTACACTATTTTACACTGTTTTTATTATCAAACTTTACACAAATCCAAAGTAGTTACTGAGAACATCCTAAAGACCTGATAAGTCTACTTAAAAGACTTGTAGAACTGAAAACTTACTATAAATACAAAAAATGGAACTTAAAACTGAACTTATCAAAATCAAAAATTATGCAAAAAATTGAACTTAAAACTGAAATTATCGAACTAATCAAATTTAAAATAAATTTCTCCACAATTGGCGGTTCGAGGCTAAATACCTTAAGTCTGTCAAGTCGTCACTATTATTCAAATTAATATTTCTTTTATTCAAATCGTCTAAAATAGTTTTAAAAGTATTACATTGATGTCTACCAATCCTTCCCCTCATATTTGACATACTATCAACAGCAAAATTTAGAGCTAGTTGTGGTGGTGAGTTGCAGTCGCTACGAAGAATGTGCCCAAACATTTTCCAGCGGGATTTATGAACTCTCTCTGAGAGTGGAGTTACATTGCAACGAGCATACAAGTCCTTGTTGCTGATGATGCGGGGATAGGTCATGTTGATGATACGCCTTAGATGTTTGCGTTGACACACATCAACTTTATTGATAATGTTCTGTGGAGCTGCCCAGCTGTTACAGTTGTATAATAAAACAGGGGTAACAAATGCTTCATACAGCTTGATTTTTACAGGAAGAGAAATGCGGGATTTCTCTGCCCATACCTTGCTGTATTTCTCAAAGGCAACGTAAGCAAGGATGCATCGGCGAGAGATATCAGCCTTACTGCAGAGCTTGGATCCAAGAGAAATAGTGTTGCGCCAGGGCTCTCTGTTCTTCACGGGTTCACCCTTGGCGTCTACCTCGTCCTTATCTGCAATGTAGAAGTGGACATGTTCTGTTTTGTCCTCGTTCACAAACAGGTTCCATTCTTCAAGGATCTCCTTACATATGGGCAGCATTTCTTTAAGAGTTTCCTCATCCTCGTCTGCAAAATCGCCATCGTCGGCGTATTCCCATTCAATAGGCATGAGGGTCTCGGGGTTGAACGGTGGGTTAGGCCGAATGGTAATCACTACTGCACGGAAGTGGTATAAAGCTTCAGCAAAGTACAGTGTGAAGAATGCACCAGATGCAGCATCACCTTGAAACGAACCCTCGGATGTTTCAAACTCTAAGGAAATGGTGTTGTTGATTTTTATCCTCAATTTGGTGTTGGAGAGCAAGTATCTCGCCAAACGAATGTCGTCCTCACAACAACCAGCATCAGCCAAAAGTTCCAGGATAACTGATCTCTTGATGGTATCGAAGGCCGAGCTCATGTCGATTCCCATCTTGTGGAACTCCCATCTCTTCTCTTTAACAACAGAAATCAGAATTCGTTGAGTCCAGACAATATTGGCACAACTATGACCAGCCTTGTAGGCATTTTGCCATGGTCCTGTGTACTCTGCAATTTGCCTTTGAATTCTGTGTAGGGTAATCAAGGAGAGCAGTTTCCTAGTTCCATTCAGAAGGCAAAGAGGTCTGAGGCTCTTTAGAGGTCCTTTTGGTTTCCCTGGCTTCTGAAGAGGGGTTAGAAACCCTTCCGTAAAAGAGGGTACATGCTCATGTACTTCAAATGATCGATTAATGAGACATGCATATTGCTGGAAGAATACAGGTGGTGCGTACTTCAGCAGCTCGTTAGGAATCTCATCAGGACCTACTGCTTTCCCATTTTTCAACTTTGAAGCAGCATATTGGACTTCTAAGGAAGTTATAGGAGTATTCAGAGGACGTGGGGGTCCAGTGAAAGGTACCAAAGGAGGGTCTGAGCTGTTGTAGTGATTTTTAAACCACTCTCTAATGATACTTGCTTTCTCATCGTCACTTGCAACTAGCTGATTTTCAGAGTTGAAGACAGATATTGACAGATATTACACTGTTTTACACTATTTTACGCTATTTTACACTATCTTACATTATTTTACACTATTTTTCACTATTTTACACTATTTTACACTTTTAATTACACTTAACCAAATTAACTTCTAAAAATCTTCTTTTTTCCTATTATATATTATTTTCCAATCTTCACATAGTACATTTCCAAAGGTAGAACATAACTTTGGTTTTACACTTTTTACACTACACTTTTGCCTTTTTTTTATGTATGGTGTAAAAAATGTAGCGAGCCCCCCTATTTCTCTATTTACCACCTTTACCATCTTTACCACCTCTACCACCTTTACTACCTTTACTACCTTCACCACCTTTACTAAGTTACTACCTCTATCACCTTTACTACCTTTACCACCTTAACCACCTTTAACACCTTAACCACCTTAACCACCTTTACCACCTTTACCACCTTTACTACCTTTACCACCTTAACCACCTTTGCTACCTTTACAACCTCTCACCTTTACTACCTTTACCACCTGGTGTTCTTTTTCAGTTAACACGGACATTTGAGCAGCTCCAGCCACCCACCAACCTCTTCCACTTGTCAGATGGAGAATTCCTCAACAAAATCATGGCAAATATGTAAGTGCCAATTTTGTAACCACGAGAACCATTGGATATCAACTAATATTTGAATAATATGACTGCCAGAGACCAAGGAAAATGTTTTCAAACCCACTGTGTGGTTAAATCTTCTTGTCCCGACAGATAATGCTGTAATCTAGTATTTGTGGGAGATAGCGATGTAATCTAGTATTTGTGGGAGATAGCGCTGTAATCTAGTATTTGTGGGAGATAGCGCTGTAATCTAGTATTTGTGGGAGATAGCGCTGTAATCTAGTATTTGTGGGAGATAGCGATGTAATCTAGTATTTGTGGGAGATAGCGATGTAATCTAGTATTTGTGGGAGATAGCGATGTAATCTAGTATTTGTGGGAGATAGCGATGTAATCTAGTATTTGTGGGAGATAGCGATGTAATCTAGTATTTGTGGGAGATAGCGATGTAATCTAGTATTTGTGGGAGATAGCGATGTAATCTAGTATTTGTGGGAGATAGCGATGTAATCTAGTATTTGTGGGAGATAGCGATGTAATCTAGTATTTGTGGGAGATAGCGATGTAATCTAGTATTTGTGGGAGATAGCGATGTAATCTAGTATTTGTGGGAGATAGCGATGTAATCTAGTATTTGTGGGAGATAGCGATGTAATCTAGTATTTGTGGGAGATAGCGATGTAATCTAGTATTTGTGGGAGATAGCGATGTAATCTAGTATTTGTGGGAGATAGCGCTGTAATCTAGTATTTGTGGGAGATAGCGATGTAATCTAGTATTTGTGGGAGATAGCGATGTAATCTAGTATTTGTGGGAGATAGCGATGTAATCTAGTATTTGTGGGAGATAGCGATGTAATCTAGTATTTGTGGGAGATAGCGATGTAATCTAGTATTTGTGGGAGATAGCGATGTAATCTAGTATTTGTGGGAGATAGCGATGTAATCTAGTATTTGTGGGAGATAGCGATGTAATCTAGTATTTGTGGGAGATAGCGATGTAATCTAGTATTTGTGGGAGATAGCGATGTAATCTAGTATTTGTGGGAGATAGCGATGTAATCTAGTATTTGTGGGAGATAGCGATGTAATCTAGTATTTGTGGGAGATAGCGATGTAATCTAGTATTTGTGGGAGATAGCGCTGTAATCTAGTATTTGTGGGAGATAGCGATGTAATCTAGTATTTGTGGGAGATAGCGATGTAATCTAGTATTTGTGGGAGATAGCGATGTAATCTAGTATTTGTGGGAGATAGCGATGTAATCTAGTATTTGTGGGAGATAGCGATGTAATCTAGTATTTGTGGGAGATAGCGATGTAATCTAGTATTTGTGGGAGATAGCGATGTAATCTAGTATTTGTGGGAGATAGCGATGTAATCTAGTATTTGTGGGAGATAGCGATGTAATCTAGTATTTGTGGGAGATAGCGATGTTATCTAGTATTTGTGGGAGATAGCGCTGTAATCTAGTATTTGTGGGAGATAGCGCTGTAATCTAGTATTTGTGGGAGATAGCGATGTAATCTAGTATTTGTGGGAGATAGCGATGTAATCTAGTATTTGTGGGAGATAGCGCTGTAATCTAGTATTTGTGGGAGATAGCGATGTAATCTAGTATTTGTGGGAGATAGCGATGTAATCTAGTATTTGTGGGAGATAGCGATGTAATCTAGTATTTGTGGGAGATAGCGATGTAATCTAGTATTTGTGGGAGATAGCGATGTAATCTAGTATTTGTGGGAGATAGCGATGTAATCTAGTATTTGTGGGAGATAGCGATGTAATCTAGTATTTGTGGGAGATAGCGATGTAATCTAGTATTTGTGGGAGATAGCGATGTAATCTAACTTATTTGTGGGAGATAGCGATGTAATCTAGTATTTGTGGGAGATATAAACAAAAGCTCTAAGAAACAGATGGTAAACAAAGTAAACATTTCTGTCCCCTAATCTTTCTCACACAAAAGTCATGCAATTTGCATACTTCTCCATTTAACTCTATTTTGAGCGATTAAAGTTAAATAGTTTAAATCACATAAATTATTTAACGATAATTTTCGAACACTAAGGTCGTGTAGAATCAGTGAGAAAAGGTTTGACTGCGGTCTTCCACGCCGCCCTTGAAGCTGTAAGGTGTTAACAGCAAAAACAAGCGACGAATAGGCTGGACCATCTGTAGGCCCACGCAGTACATGTCCGAGCATCCTCCACCGACTACGAGCCACTTTAGCTGACAATGGTTCGCTATTGCAGCGTTTATACAAGTTCTTGTTGGAAATGATGTGAGGGTATTTGTAATTCAAAATTGATCGCAGATGACGTCTGTGAGCAATATCTAGTTTTTCCAATACTGATTTAGGGGCAGCCCAGCAAGATGAATTGTACATTAAAACGGATACTACCAGAGCCTCATACAATAGAAGCCTCTTGCTCAGAGGGATCTTATGGTTCCAAGCTTTCTTGTATTTGTTAAACGCGGCATATCCCAGACATATCCTTCTAGAGATGTCCTCCTTGCTACAAAGCATGGAGCCAAGCGTGATACTCTTTCTCCAGAGCTCGTTCCCTGCAATTGGCTTACCCTGATCGTCTTTAGCTCCCTTTTCAGCTAAGTACACATGAGTGAAATCAGTTTTGTCTTCGTTAACGAAGAGATTCCAATCTTTAAGGACTTCTGTTGCAATAGGCAACAGCTCCCTCAAATTGTCCTCATCTTCATCATTGAAGTCGATATCATCAGCATACTCACTGTCAAGTGGAAGACCGATATCGGTGATAGGTGGGTTAGGCCTATTCATTTCAGTTTCAAGCCTGTTACGGAGGTCACGCAAGGCACCCGCTAAGACAAGTGTGAACAAACATCCAGACAGACAGTCACCTTGGAATGCACCGAGAAAACTCTGGAATTCAGCAGACAGTGTACCGTTGATGTTGACTTTGAGCTTGGTGTTGGAAAGCAAAAGTCTTACCAAACGGACTTCGTCATCATCACAGCCACACTCAACAAGAAGATCGAGGATGGTAGATCGTCGTATAGTGTCAAAGGCACTAGACATATCGATCCCCATACGATGGTATTCCCACCTCTTCCTCTGGACAACTGATAACATCACACGCTGGCACCATACAATGTCAGCACATGATCTACCCTGCTTGTAAGCACATTGCCATGGACCAGTGAAGGCATTGACTTTATTCTCAATTCTCTTCAAGGTTGCCATTGAAAGAATCTTTCTAACAGCATTTGAGAGAGTGAGGGGTCGTAGATTCTTCACTGGACCAATGGGCTTATTTGGCTTCTGTAAGGGGGTAATGTTTGCCTGTCCAATGGGGTCAAGGTAGGAATTGGTCTCGAAGCTTCTATTGATAATGTCTGCAAAACGTCTGTGTACTGATCCAGTAGAATACTTGAGAAGCTCGTTAGGAATTCCATCTGGGCCGTTAGCTCGACCATTTTTGAGACTTCTGGCAGCTGATCCGATTTCTTCACTAGTGAATGGCTTAACTAGTGGGCGAGGAGGTCCTACAAAAGGTTCTAAAGGTGCTTCATCACGAGTAAGTTGTTGCTCAAGGTACTTAGCAACTACGGCAGCTTTACCAGTGTCTGTTGCAATATTGCACCCTTTCTCATCATGAACACCAATACTAGAAGGGGCTTTAGGTAAGTTCAGGGTTCGAACAGCTTCAAACATTTTCTTACTATCTGTTGTTGAACTGATGGTATTACAGATAGCATCAGCAGCAGCTGATCGTTTGTTAGAAAGTCTCTGCTTGATCTGATTGGTGAGGCAGTTAATAGATGATCTAAGTGAGGTTCTGTCTAAAGACTGGTTATCATTAAGCTGCTGTCTCAACAAGTAACGCTGGCTAGATAAGTTTTTCACCTCATCATCGTCGCTGCGATTACGTTTCCTGTGTCTGATGACACCAATTGACGATTTTGCAGCATCCTTTATGGACTCAAGTAAGCCATTCAAGTCTGAATTTGGATCCAGAGCAGAAACAGTGTTACTTAAGTTATCATCTAAGGATTGACGATATTTCACCTGAATGGTGGGGTTCGAGGTGAGTTCAGAGGTGTTGAACTTTAAGGATGACTTGGAGTGGCGTTTATAGCAAAGACAGATGTCCTTAAAGTCTACTCTAGTGACAACAAATCTGTGATCAGAGTATGTCAAAGTGCCTGCATAAGATCTAGAATCTTGTAGCATTGGCTTCGACCTACTCCGACACAGGATGAAATCGATCTGAGAATAGACCGGGATCGTCTTTTTACTATTTCGCCCGGCACTCCAGTCCTTCCTCCAGCCAGTGTAGGTGGTCGTATGTCGAGCAGGATGATAAAAACCAGTGTTGGAGGCAAAGAGGTCAAATTCTGATAACAAGTCTAACAAGTTTTCCCCCATATCGTTGCGCAAACCCATACCATGTTTACCCATGAAACGACCAAAACCAAAGTCCTTATCTGAAGTAGTCATTTTTCCCAACTTTGAATTAAAATCCCCCAAAACAAATATCTCAACATTAGCAGGGACATTTAGAGCGTCCCTAACTTGGCCGTAGAAATTAATCAACAGTTGTTGATCATTTTCTGCAAGTTTCTTGTGTGGCCCATATACATTGACCACCCTACATTTGATAAATTTTCCTGATTTTGTAGGGAGTTCTAGGTCCAAAAAGCTTACTCGATCACTGATACTGTTCCAGCATACCACATAGTCAATAAATCGGGGACTGATAACAAAACCGAGTCCATAGTGCCGGCCATTTTTCTGCTCAAACAATAAGAGTTTGTATCCGTTGCTAAGACTGCAAGAATCCGGTTTTACAACCTTAGTCTCCTGAATAGCGCAGATATCTATGCCGTACCGTAGACAATCGGTACCCAGTTGCTCCCGTTTGCTGTGGATGTCGTCTGGATCGTCACAAGAACCGAGGCCACGTATGTTAAAGGTGGCGAAGCTGATGAGGAGTGTAGCAAACAGGGATCGTCCTGTAGCTGAGGTAAACATTACGGAGGGCG